TAACTCTCTAGACTACAACGCCGAATGAGATCGTACTGGTTCTGCGCTGCGTCACGCGCTGCGCAGCTACCCTTATTTATATTCCGGATATTGAATGCAGCGCTTTACATTAATATATCTATGGTTTATTTTTGACCTATGAAAATTCAATGCAGGACTACACGAAAAAATTTGGATCCAAATTAATCCAAGTAAATCCAAATATTTATGAATCTATCCAAATATGTGAGAATCTTTTAAGTAAATCCAAATTTCTGTAGAATTTCGATTTTTTGGATACTTGATTTCTATTGTTCTTTATTGTACGTACAAGATAGGAATTTTCATAATAATTTTCTAATTCAGTAATTTGTATTTTTGTTTTAATTTTACAGTTACACTTGAAACCTGATGTGATCGGATAGATAAATTTTTTGTAACGTTAGGGGTGGTTGATTGATTTTTAGATAATTTGGCCTAAATTATAAAATTAATATTGTTCTAAAATTTTATCTCTGATCTGAATTGTAACTCTTACATCAACAATTAAATGAAAAATCGATTTACTGAAACTTACGCAAAAAATTTAGATTTTTTTTTTAGCACAGCTCTATTGATTAATCGGTTTTTATTATAATAATATATAAGCAGGCCAAGCCGTTTTGCATGTGCATGCACTATTATGTAGTACAAATTTCACTATTATAAAGATCAAATAAGGATTATAAGATCGAAAATATAATAAAGTTTCGTTAATAATTTATTTGCATTAAATATATTAAGTAACTTGTCAAGAAAATTTCTACAAGCATATAACAAAAAATATCCACGTACCCGGTTCAATTTTTAATTCGCGCCTCGCCTTTAAAAAAAAAAACTCTAATTCTGTAATTCGCATATTGAATATCTGACTACAGTAATTTAATTTGATTTGATTTGATCGAATTTTATTGGTTAATAATCGCGTCTTATCCCGTTATGTACGTATTTTGAGATTAGTAAAAATCCAATTATTTACGCGATTTTGTTTTGTCAATAAACCAGAATTATAAAAATAACGTATTGTAAATGTAGCAGACTACGTATAAATAATGGTTATATACAATAAAAAAACAATTTTATTTCATAAAATAGTAAAAAATATACAACGTTGAAAATTTGAAATATTACGTTATATGTATATATTAACTATTATATACTATAATTTGTCGTTTTTTTTTTTTTTTTTTTTTTTTTTTTTTACAATTAAAACTATATTAAATTTTTTTTTTTTAATACAATTATAAAAAAAATATATATCATATTTAAAAACTATTTAAAATTTGATGTTTAAACCTAAAAGTTTAGGTTTCAAAACTTTTTTCAATTCGTTTATAGAATCTTGATCGAATTGATTTAATGTTAAATCCACTCTTTGAAGAGATAAGTTATTGAATAAAGTACTAGCAATAACTTTTGATATTTCAGAATCAAAGTTATTTCTACTTAAATCCAAATCGGTAAGCTTCTTGTTTTCTTCTACAGCTTCAAACAATACCTTTCCGATTTCAAGATCTTCTATACTTTTACTTAGATATAGAT